CAATAGCCAAGCCAGACATGCAAACGTGTATGCCACCGCAATGCCACCACATACCTGAGCGAACACTTGCCTCTTATTGCAAACTAAAAGTGGTTTCCTGTGATTTGTAGCTCATATCTCTGTAGTTTTTCACAGAAAAAGACGGGACCAGAATGCTGCAGATCTGCTTAAAAAAACCAGTTAAATGTGTTAGTGTTAAATCATTTTTTGCTCTCGGTTTAAGAACAGATCTTTATCTGCTTTGTTGACACCTGATCGTGATCATCATCCTTCAGGCATGCCACGCCATCATAAAGATCTGAAAATGTTGAGAAACTGCACAAGAGGCTGTAGTTTTATTTTATCTTATTAATTATAACATAAAAATATTCTGTTATAGCAGCCAGCTTATATTAAACTAACACAAAATCTAATAAGAAAACATCAGCCAAAAGCAAATAGCTCCACAAAATCAAATTACTCTATACAATAAAATGGCTACATGAAGTAAATTAGCAAGTAAAGCAGAAAACAGCAAACACCAGATCATATTAAAGTGCCAGAACAGAGAGTGTAAAGTGTAATGAGCACTGCAGGTTTGGAATAAAACCATTAAGGTGCTCGGACATACATGTTGTGTTGCCTGATGTGGGGAAAATGTCCTGCACCTGTGTATATAAGCTGATTATACACGTGGATGACTATGCATAAAGTGTAGAAATTTCTTTAAACAACTTTTGGCAACTTTTCAAGCTAAAAGTCGGCGTCAGATCTTTCGGCATCATGTCAGGCCCTTTGGCAGCTACGCTCACACCTTCAGCGCATTGTTGTTTAATTGACATCAAGCTGTCATTCGTGTAAGCCACACATGAATTTATAGGAATAAGCTGGCTTGCTTCCTTTGTTGAGTCATTGACAGGAGCCTTGCCTGTCAACAGTGTGTTCCTCTGTAAGATGATGTCAAAGGAATTATTCAGAAAGTAACAAAGAACATTTCAGCTTGTTTTTTCTTCATAGAGACTAAAGTGTAAACTGTAAAATGAGAGACTAACAAAACACCAGAATCTCACTCAAGGAAACTGAAGCACAAACTTCTTTGGTGGTCTTTAAGAGTCAACAAGCTGTATTGTCGGATAATTTAATTAAAAACGCTTCAAGAGGCACCATCAGTACAAACACAGTGGAGCAGTCCACTTTAGTGACTAATTTTACACCTTAGCAGCATCCAAGTGGAGTGAGTTCTGAAAATAGCTTCCCACTATGCAGCTGTTATCAGCAGGGTTCAACGCTTTTTTGAACCAGACCATAAATGTGCTTTTAATGGTTCAAAGTTGGGAATTTTAATACTGGGATCTGGGGATACCCTAAGGAGTTACCCTAAGGATCATTAGAGGGAGTGGTGTTTTTGGTACTTTATCATTTTTCAGCTCCGGAGTATGCATACTGGACAGAAGCAAAATCTGATTTTATAATAAGGATAAACATTATATTGGTTTAACCTCGCATACGTTCTTGCTACGATTTAACGATGCAGAACATGGACACCAAATCTCAGTGCTTTCAGTCTACAAGGACAAGGTGCAGCTTGTTTGCTGAATGTGCAAATCATTTAGCAACAACCACCACACACACACACACACACACACACACACACACACACAGAGCCCTTCATCCATCTTCTATATCAAATGTCACCTTACACCCATACTGGAGGGGGAGGGTGGAGGCTTTAATCGCCCCACTCCCCACCCTATGATATCTTTGCTGCTGCAGTCTACCAGCAATATAGACTCATCACATCTTGCTCACACACACACACACACACACACACACACACACACACACGGGCCTGCTTGTGAATGAAACTGCGTGGTAATCAGAAGGATTGGGTGAATCGATAGACTGCACTCCCTGAAGATGGGGAGATGGCGAGATGGGAGTAGCGTGATGGAGGCCACCGGGATGCTCAAAATGATGAGAGGTCGCTGAAAATGAAGATAGCGTCGTGAGACAAAAGAGAGGGCGTGTCCGGGCATGGCGAGGAGAATGGAGGGAAAGGAGGCAAATTGATTTGTCTGGGGGAAGGGATGAACCAGAGGAGAGAGAAGAGGAGGTGAAATTAAAGGGGGGAAGGGAGAGGAAGAGGAGAAAATGAAGGAACACATTTGCTTGGTGGCTATGGCGTTTTAAATACCGTATTCCAACTCTTTAGTTATAATCCTTCAATAAAATATTAGTTTCAGTTTGTACTATTTTGGTCCGAACCTTGATGTGTGATCAGCATCAGAAGGAGAGATGAAAGAATATCAGCTGAGGGCGATTTTTATTTGTTTTCTGGTGTACTGATTAATGTTGCAGACAGTCCACAATCAAATTTATTCTTCTAAACTATAAACTCGACATTTTGTTTTTTTACATGGTAGTTTAGCTTTTAATAGTAATTTCTTCACATAGCATATGAGCTAGAAACATCTCCTTTCTTCATTTACAACCAGTTAATTCCCCCCAGGGATGTAGCACATTTCTCAAAAACCTGCTTTTCTCTTTGTCTTTGCTGTTTTGTATTAGAAATATGAGGGGAAAATGCCTCAAGTGTTTCAAAAAAATGCATTTTGGAAAGCTAATAAAATCTAAGAATGGAAGTCCACAAAGAGAACGACAAAAAGGAGGCGCGATGAAAGCTTTTTGATGTCTGAGAGATGCAAACGGGTAAAACAGGCTGGGTTTAAAAGGTCCTAACAGCAATAACAGCAAATGGTGATACAGTCTGAGGTGGAATCACAGATCTTCTTGACTTGAACCTCATTTGTCTGCAGATCTTAGGCAACACTCTGCCAGTGATATTGCCTAATCTAGAAATTTACCAGTGATTCACAGAATATTGCTTCTGTGGAAATATACCAACACGGCAACATTTACCAGATAAAAATTATTCTCAAACCCATGAAAATGTGAGTTGGCTCCTGAAACGAGAAGCAAATATGTTCCTGCACTACTGAGTTGGTGGAAATAGGGTCGGCTGTTGAGTCATCTAAAAAAACAGACATGATTTTTGTAGAAATCTTTAGGGTTTTTTTTTCTTTTTTTCTACATCACTTAACATCAATGATGCTACAAGTCTCTGCAGTTTCTTATGACATGTAGTTTTTGAATATTGAGTAATTCTCATTTTTCTAAAAGGTCTCATCTGACAGGGCTGGGCATGAACTTTTTCTGGCACTTTTTACTTTTTGCTTGTCCAGGCAGAGACGCCGCTAATCTGGGGTAGAAATGAAAGCAATTCATTTCAACTGAATTTAAAGAAATCAGGTGGGAGAAAAAAATTGCTGTCTCACACGAGTGAACAGCTCTTAATGCTGAACTTTGACATCTGTATGGAGTACTATGCAATTTATTTGAGCTTTTTCATTTTTAATTGATTGCAATGACGGGGCACTTTTTCGTCCTTTGAAAATAATGCTAATTATTCATGCTTTGCATGAAATATCACCCTGTAACACAGTGAGTAATGAACATTTAGTTGCTATTTACAGTTTTCCAAATGAAGCGGTCTATAGCTGGAACATTTCCTGATGGCTTTCACAGAGAAAAGTGGTGATTTGCTAAATATAGTGAAAAGTGTAGCAAGTCATTTGTAGGAAGGACTGAATCTCATTCGCCTTTGAGTTACAAGGTAAAAACTGATACAACTGTCAGGAACAAGCTTCTGCATCATTAATTGATTGTGAAAGTACTTTGTAGCTAACAAACGACATTTAATGCTGAGATTTTACAATAGTAATGTTCACCCTTCATTCCAGATGTTTGTTTTCATTGTAGTCAGGTCAGGTACCTGCATTTGCCCTGAAGCTTCCTCTATTTTCTTGTTTCTTTGTTCCGCATGTCATCCTTACTGCAGATGGGTATTTATGTGTCCATTCAGTGCTCGGGAAAGCAAATGGAGAGATTAAAACTTGAAGTAAAGCGGTCAAATAAAATCGACAGTCAAGCCTGGGAGATAAAACAATAAAGATAAATGATCAGAATACATTTTGCTCCAATTTAAATATGAAACATGATCAATGTAAAGTCAGTAGAACCAAAGGCCAATGATAATAAGAATAGCGCTGCACTCATATTGCTGGAGTAGAGTTGGGTCTGGCTGACACACAGAGCGTAACATTTGTCGGACCTATATTACCTGTCTCTCCCTCATCACTGTGAAAAAATGACGAAGATGATGAAGTGTTGGTTGGTTGGCTGTCGCAGTTCCCCTGCTGTTTCACTCACCGATCTATTCTTTAAAGGGTGATTAAATTCAGACTGTTGTGGTAGTTTTAGATATGAGCATGTTGTGAGTATCAACAGACGCTCAGGTATGAAGGCCAGATCGGTTTCCCACCACCATCATTAGGAACACGAGTCTAACGTCACTGACCCTGCAGCCACACGAGTGTGCTGAATAAAAACATCGAGGGGTGCTGGGTGCTCTTTTTTTCAACTTCTGGTGTCTGGTACAGGCATGCAGTTACATAGTCAGTGTCACAAGGTATCTATAGGCATGCAAATCATTTGGAGCTTGTGACTCTCTTTCACTCTTTCAACATCGGTGCAAGTATTTTAAATATGTTCGGTCTGCTACTAGTTAAATTTCCACTTAAATAATAATTTAGCCAATTAAAGGTTAAAAAAATACTTTAAAAAATCAATAGGTATAAAATTTAATAGGTATATTCCATCTACTATGATTTATTTTCAAGGGAGAGCTGCACAACTGAACTGTTTTGCTTGAAAAATTTAGTTTTGTTTTTTTTTTGTTTGTTTGTTTTTTTAAACCATTCAGCTCTAATGTTGTTTTTATTTAACGAACTGTGAGTGGGAGTCCTCTTTCAAGCAAAATTTGTTTTTCTCTTACAGTTAGAGAGTATCACATCTAAGATTTCACATTGGATACAGTTCTTAAGATTCCACTGTGTTGTTCATTAAGAAGGAATGGTGTCAGTCACAGTAGTTTATGTATTTATCTCTCTCTCTTTCTTCAGCATACCTCCCTGTCGGCCAGCCGCTCAGAGAAGGGCACGGGCTGGTCAAGCCGCTCACTTGGTGCCAGATGTCGTAACTCCATCGCCTTGTGTTCAGATGAACAGCCACACATTGGAAACTACCGACTGCTCAAAACCATCGGCAAAGGCAACTTCGCCAAGGTTAAACTGGCGCGACACATATTGACCGGCAGAGAGGTGAGTTCAAAGAAACAAGAAGGAGAGAAAAACAATGCACAGAAAGCAAAAAGCAGAAAAAATCCTGATAATTATTACGCTGAAGGGCAGCCGTGCACAGTGGCTCATATGAGGCTAAAAGAAAAGAGTTTAGGGGTTGGAGCAGAAGTAAATACTGCAGATCCTTGTAGCGCAGTCAAGGCCTTTAAACCTTTTGAAGAAATACTGTGTGTGTGGGTGTGTGTGTGTGTGTGTGTGGGTGTACGTCCATGTGTTTAAATACACTGTAGTCTTTCTTCTCATAAAACCCTTGACCTACATTAGCTCAGTTGATAACTCTGGGCTCAAGACACTTTGTGTGTCTGCCACTGGCTTAATCATGTGATAGCTGCTGTTTCCACCCACATAAAGCAGAAGACAAATATGGTGGTTTAAAGTTGTACTGGTATGTCCGGGTCAACACATGCTGTTAAACCTCTTGCTTTATTAAGTAAGTTTTAGCTTTTATGTCTTTTCTGTGTTGTAAAACATGGCGTGGTTTGAACTCTTTGGCCTCATTACAGTTTGTTTTGATTCACGTGTATTTTCTCATTTAAGACTATTGGATTGTGTTGTGCTTGCTAGCAGTATTACCCAATGCTAAAGATTCTTCCGATTATTCTAGTTCAGGGTTTATTTAGTCCGGAAGCTGGAGTAAACTCATCATCTAAGCATATTTTTCAGTAGCCATCAAGTGTCAGACTGTCTTGACTGTCAATATGGACACTGAAGTGGCTGATAATAAATACAACTCAAAAAAACAGCAAATTAATTGATTAAAAAATGAAAGCAGTGGAAATTACACGGGAAAAGCAAAGGGCCACGGATCGGACTCGAACTGCTACATTTCAGCCGTGTGGCATGCGATCACCTACTCAACCAGTGAGCTATGCTGGCGTTAAATAAGCCAGTTTTTGTTGGGCAAGTGTGATAAATTCTCTGTATTTATTTTGTTTTTGTTTTTTTTCTCCCAGGTTGCAATAAAGATCATCGATAAAACACAACTGAACCCAACCAGCCTTCAGAAGGTGAGTGACACGTTACTGGATCAGCCGGTGTATATCAGTTTAATGAGCTGGCCACTTAACGTTCAACTGAACTCTAGATTTAATAATTCTTGTAGTAAGAGTGCAGGATATTTTTTCTTTTTAACCTGTGGCATCCTGTGTGTGCTTATTTGTGATGCCTTAGATTAAAACCCTCAGTTGAGCTTTGTGTGCTGTAGTCATCTGACCTTTTACCTTTTGGTTGTTATGCGGTTAAAATGTGAAAAACACAAAAGCAACAGTTCGGGGAGAATTTAAGCACTGAGGCATCTGCGTTGGCTTTGTCAGTGGTTGCAGGGAAGATTCGTCTCTCCATCTTCAGCTCTTGCAGTGCTGCTTGATAAAAGGCTTGCCTGTCCAGTTTTATGGGTTATTTATATCTTATGTGAACTCGGTATAGTATATTCATTCAAAGAAGCCAGCGAAGCAGTGACTTTTGCTTTGTGTCATTGTAATGCATCCGTCACATGTGCACTCAGTCCTCCAGAACAAAGCCGTACAAAGACTTGGAGTAACGTACGTCACCGTATGCTTCTGTGGTGACATTTAGGGTTATGTATTAACTACATGCGTTGCATTTGTGTCCTTAATGAGATTAAACCCTTTCCTGTCTCAGCTCAGACTGCTTGCATCTATTTGTGTTTTTGTGTGCGGTGCATGTGTTAATTGAGCACAATCTAATGAAACAGAATCGACCACTGCCTCAGGGCTGTCTTCTGTTTTCAAGCAGTGAAAGTTGCGGTATTTTCTCATTCAGCTATGATGGTGTTTAATAATGCAGCACTGAAATATTAATGTCTTCACTGAGTGCATGATTTTATTATATTTTGCTCCATGTGATTTTATTGTGGTGTCCCCCCCAACCTGTAATTTAAGGTGGACCTCTTAGATAGTTGAGCAGTAAAGTTAATCATTATTCACTGGACTATAGTATCATACCTCCATTGTCATAATATCTAAAGCGTGACTGGGTAGCTGCTGTGACGTCACCCAGTGGTTAATAAAGTGTGAACTTTCACCGTTGACTAACCAATCAGCATACAGAAATATTCCTCCTTTCTGACTCCTGTAATGACCTTAATTTACAAAATTAGCTTCATGTTTTATTCAATAAAACCAGAAAGTCGTGACTGAGCCCATAAATCATCAGGAGATTGTTTACCAAGGTCAGAGAGCAAAGGAGCCCAGGGCTGTTTTTCCATAGATTTCTATATGACTGCAAGTGTTTGTGCTACCACATCAATCGCCCCCTGTTGGTCACTTTAAAAAAACAAAATGCAGATTTAAAACACTTAAGCATTGGCTATTTTTTCAGACCCAGAGGCTGCGTCCATATTTTTTACTGCCTATGCTAATGTCAAAGCTAGACTGTGGTTTAGACATTGGTTCGGTTATCGGTTGCATGTAGTACTAATATGCGGTTTTCACATGTGAACTCCAGACAGTGGCAGCTGAATCAGCTTTGCTTTCCCACATTTAGCCAGCAGATAGTTAACATCAGATCTTTTCTCACTAATGGAAACAGTTTGATTTAGGTGTTGGTTATTTTAGGACCATTGGCTGTGAATTCACCAGACAATCAATCAGACATCACATGGACTTAGTAGTATGAAGCTGGCAGGCTAAAGACAGTTGACTGTCTGGTCTCACATGCAGCTTCACCATTTAATGTCTAAAAATTGCTTAATTAAACGTTTGTAATTTAAAAAATACAATGAGTACTATAAAAAAAATACTATGGGTTGTAAAACGTGCTGCTAGTTTTTGTTTGCTCTGTTTTGGAAATGTTAGTTGGTTAAAGAAATGTGCTACTTATTTCTTCACCTTCAGACATCTGAAGTAGGAAATCGTTTTAATAGACTAAAGAAGCAGAGCTGTACCACAAGCTTTTATTCCCCAGATTGGCAGCAGGTTTTTCTGGCTGTTCATTTTGTCATTTGCAGGTTTAACCTTGTGTATTTGTGTGATGGACTCACAGCTGTAAGAACCGTTCCCAGAGTTTAACAAGGGATTTCTTTGTACAGCCTCAACCCTGCTGACCAACCTTTGTCCTTGTTCAATTATGACTTTACTTTATCGTGCACAACAAAAAGCACACTCTCTCACCTCATCTGGATCAATACTGCACCACATACACACATACAAACTGGCCTATTGATGAATTCTCAGCTGGTTGGGTAACTAGTCCAGGCTAGGTTTGGCTCAACTGATAACACAAAGTTGTGTTATTGGTGACGTATGGTTGTCCGTGACTATTGGTCCACTTGGCCTAGATTCTGGCCAGGATGACTGATTGATGACGCTGCTTCTCCACTTGTCAACAAAATGAAAACACAAGTTAGTTGGTATCCCAATCCAAGTCCTCCTATCAGTAATTAAAGGCAATTACTCTGTAAAATTCACCAATTTATTAACAAAAATTGGTGTCTTTTCTTTTTTGTTTTTCAAAAATGTACATTAGTATTTGGTGAAAGATAAATAACTTTATTAGACTGCTGGTGGCTTTCCTTTTGCCTCTGACAAAAACCTTTTTTTCAGGGGCTGCAAATAATTCCTCAATGCAGCGAAAAAGACTGTGTGTGAATCTGGGGGATGAATTTGTGGATTGTGTGGGAACACAGACAGTGGTTTTGCTGAACAGCAGTCATGAGAATGGCCGGGCTTTCATAGAACAGAAATTGCCTTCGGTTCCGGTGGTGATACGCCGACTTAATCACACCATTTATCTGCTCTTCAAGTGTTGAATCTCAGATCCTGGTTTTATAAGGCGTGGTTCAGAGCTGTGTGTGTGTGTGTGTGTGTGTGTGTGTGTGTGTGTGTGTGTGTGTGTATTCTGCAGCCTGGTTGTGGTGTAGTGCTGCATAGCGCAGCTGTATCGGGGCAGGGGCTGCCCGTTACGTCCTGTCCTGTCAGCATTATTGTAGCCGGTGTAGGACAATATGCATGCTGCCAGGTGACACTGTCATGATATCTCTCCATCTCTTTCTCTGTCTGTCTGCCACGTTTCCCCTCACTCACTCACTGCCCGTCTCTTTCTCCAGTTATCACTTTCTGTGTGTGCTGAAAAAGTGTTGAATTTCATTATAAATCAATTTCAATGTTATGTTTATATAATATAAAGCTCCAGCTTATGATAAATTAGTAATAAGTCGAACTTTTGGTTGGGTTGGACAGTTGTGTTGTTAGCAAATATAAAATTTTACTGTTAACATTTACAGGTCTTAATAACCATAGGGGAAGAACCTTTGGTACTTTTCAACATTCTTGACCCCTCATAACTTCCTAAAGACATCAAATATCCACAGGTATCAAAATGTTGGTTTAAAAAAGGCCTTTTATGTGCTGTAACTTGTTTTGATCAGCCAGTTATCACATCTGGTGGTAGGCTCTTTAGGCGTTTTTACCAATGAAGACAGATCAAACATTCAGGGTGCCGGGGTTTCTGTTACTCTACGTCACTGAATTGGTGCATTAAATCGAAACTATAGTATGTTCATGATATTGATGTTCAGAGTTGGTTATGATTTTGGCCTTAGAATCTAACTTGAAGTGGTTTTACTGATTCTGAAGAGGTCAAGTTGGGAGGGCCTGATTGATTTTCCATGGAGTGACACATAAAACGGGAACACTGTAAATAATGTTTTTCATTATTTTTGTGGATAAAAATACATTTTACTAGCTAAATAATGTGGTTCATCAGTTGATGTTGTTTAAGTTTGGCGAATGTCCTTGTGAAACTAGAAAATGTCAGAACCTTCACCAATATGTCATCCTTTAAAGGAAAATAAGAAGTAAAGCCGTAGCTCAGAGTGAAGAATATTTGTCAATATTAATCAGTTTTTTTGTCTTTCGTGGAAGATTGATTCGCTTTAGTGTACCTAGTGGAAAAGCACACAATTTGCATTTTAATTTTGACAGCATTAATATTCAAAAGTTGTCGTCTTCACAGTCGAGTTGAAATAGAAACACGCACGGGCTTCTTCCAACGCTTTAATTCTCTCCACGAAAGCTCTTCGCTTCATCTCGGTCTTCCTAGCAGCTCACGCTGCGGTGCCTCAATCTATGTTTTGTCAACTGTAGCTTTATGCCCCACTTACCTCTCTCTTCTCCCCGCTGCTCCACTTTCTCTTTTTTCTCCTCTTCGTCATCTCTTTATTTTGTTCTCTTTACTGTAACACTGCGTCCCACTTTTCCTGCCTTTCTCCCCGGGCGGTGTGTTGCAGTAGTAGCTCTACTGTAATCACAGCTGTACTCTTTGCCATCTGTAGTCTACAGTACACTTGTTTAAAGCTACAGGGACACAGGCACTGTCATGTTATGAGACTTTAAAAAGCGTATCCTGCTTCTAGAGAACTGCCAAATTTCCACCTTCACTTGCAGCTGACACACAACAGATCAACCACATGACTGATGCAGGCGTGATAAATAAAAGGATTAAAGCAACAGCTTCAGATTTCATCAAAATCAGATGCATATCTGTCCAACTACCTGAAGTGGCATTGATATATTAATGTGCAGTTAGACAAAAAACATTTAAGCACTGCGTCCTAGACCGTTATATCTCAGGGCGTCTTCTTACTGTTGTAGATGTTATTTATTTTCAGTTACTCTCTGTGGAGCATTTTGTACCTTTCTTAAGAAAAGTGCTGTATAAATAAAGTGTGTGGTTATTGTTAATATTATAAATCCAGGTATTATCTTCTGTTGTTGTACCCGCAGGCTGTGGCCTTCAGCAGATTGCAGATCTCTGCCAGTGTTGCTTCTCTGCAGAGCTTTTCCAAATTACAAAGCTGCACCCTCTGTAAACAGTTTGTTAGTTCAAAGTTTTAGGTGTTTATGGTCTTAGAAGAGATCGTATAATGAGGTGGAAATCATGATGCCAGACTGAGTGTAGCAGAACATTTACAGACATTTAGAACTGCACATTGGCAGGAAAAGAAGAAGGTCTTCCAATGATTTTTAGATGAATCTCCTTGTGAGTT